AGTTTTTCTCACTCCAGGGGCTAATGAGCCTAGGTGAAAGGAGGTAGCAGGTGTGAGGCTGCAGCTGCTATTGTGCAGTTGGAAAATGCAAATAGAGTCACCGAACAGGGTCCACAGAGCACGGAAATATAATGATGTGATCCAGCGGCTTAATATGCTCTGGTGTTTGGTTTGGTTCTCACAGGGATGCAATCATCTGTTTCAATATTTCAATAACATTTACTTTTGTTTGACAGTCCATGGTTTTCTGTGATTGTGACCATTTTGATGGTTTTGATGATGTAAATCTATTTTGAAATCATTGTTGCATAAATGTTTTAGCTGTATTATTAACAGAACAGGACTTAAAAAATAAAACTATAAATAAATCACACCACCATGTCTTCATTTGATTAGAAAACATGTTAGTAAGAAACATCCCTGTGACTTACTTTGTTGCTGATCAGCTGAGTGAAAGAAGTCCTCTCTTTTTCACTTGATTTAAAGATGTGACGGAGGCCAAAAATACTTGCAGGTGAATGTGAATTACATTGCTGCATTTTTGTTGTTTGAAAGTTAGGTACCCCAGCTTTAGGTCAAACATTTGAGGTCTCATTTCAATGTTATCTATTGCCTCAGAAGGATAAAGAAAGTACAGCAAGGGTGACAATTCCTCATTAGCTAAATCTGCCATTTTGAAAATCTCATATCATATATCCATATATCAGTGTGCCTTAGGGCAGCTGTGGCTACAGTAGTAGTTTATCCCCACCGTGCAAGGAGTGAAAGAATAATGACAAAAAAGCTACATAAAAGCGATGCATTCTTCATTTATTATTATTATATACAAAAATAAAAAGTAAATAATTCCCAGTTTGAATTGCTAATGTTATAAATATGGTTTATAAAACACATGCTGTACTTTTTCACAGCTCTCCCCGAGATCGAACTGCTCTAGAAGTACATACACACCATTTCTGACACTTCCCCCTCCTTTATCCACCTTTTTCCTAATGTGGTTTTACCCACAATGCCCTGCAGCACCTATTCCTTCTAAAGTAGTCCCAGGTTTGTTCGGCTGAGGGACCGTAGCATCCGTGATCAATGGCGTCTCTAAGATCTGCTATTGAGCGAGCAAATCAAAAGCAGCATCTGTAACCGCTGCTGTGTGGTCTCCTGTCCCCCCCTCAACTAATGATGGCACACGATTGGATAAAAAAACAACACCGCTGCCTATTACGGAGCCGAGACAAACACAGATCAGTGCTTCATGGAGGATTAAGGCTCTGTAGAGACCACTGGAGGGCTGGAAGGAGTTATAAAGCGCAAGAACTAGCCCCGCAAGAAGTAAATAAGACGGAATAAAAATTGCATAAGAGCAAAAGTAGCAGGAGAAATGGTGCAGATAGGCTTAGGTTGAGAGAGAAAGCGCGTCAGAGGCTGTGAAGGACACGGTGACATATTGCGTGTAATGATTTCTGGGTTTTTGTTATTGCGTTTTCTCAGTGGGGACAGAGCAATGGCTGATGGAGGTATAAGAGGCAAGGCCCAATTTTCAGCAAAAGAGCACAAACTTGTTCCCGGCCCAAATAAAGAAGTTTGAAGGTGCCACTGTGACTTTGCTCTGCTTTTTGTATCACTTGTGGAAAAAGACTGTCATTTTCTACAGCAGGAAAGTAAATGATATTTTACTTTGAAATGAGGAATAGCTTACAATATACTTACGACATGGAGCTGGGCTTAATCATTGCTTTCAGCTTCCCGTTTCATTTTCAGGACCTTTCTTCCATTGAAAATAAAATATATTCTTCAAATTCAGTTTAATTATTTAAGTATTTTTATATAGCCCTAAATCACTACAATGAGTCGTCTAAGAGGACCTAAAAAAGTTGACGAAATCACAGACAGTAGATCAGAGAATCAAACAGTAAATGCTATAATAAGAAACTCATATTGGCATTTTGGCTCTTGGAACTATAACCTGGTACTCATCTCTCCCTTTGAGGTCAATGTTTATTGTACACTGTCACTTTAAATAAATGAGCTTGAGCTGTCGTACCATAAATGCTCAATGCACATTTTAATAAATTTTACATAACCTTTGCTTGATTCTATCCTATTTGTTTGTGTAAATGTAAGTATATATGTGATCATTGCTATGGACATAGTCTTCCATGCAGGTCAGTGGCAGAAGCTGTACGGGCAGTGACCGCTGCAAATAAAACTTGAATGTTATATATTTTCATTAAATTGAGCAAAACTGAAAAGATGTTCCCATTTCATTTTTCGGCGCTCCAACCTTGTGCCCTGTTTTGATTCCCGAGTCTGTCTGATTGAAACAGATGGTTTCTTTTGGCTGCTAATGAGAACCCTCCACCGGTCCTGCTCATGACCTGTGGAGATAGTCGTCTGCTCAAGATGTCATTTTCTTTTTTTAAATCTTACTTTCATCTCAATTTTTCTCATCACTATTCTTTTCTCTTGACTTCTGATTGTAATTCATATAATGTCCTTTGTCCACAGACCTGACTCACAAAAGTTAAAAGCCAGACTGTGAACAGGTTCTGTCTACAACATTGCATGCAATGTTTGGACTTTTCTCCATTGTGATGATAAAATATATTGTTTGAATAAAATATCCATCCATTTTCTTCCCCTTAATCCATTTCTTGGTTGGGCGTGGCAATTCACAGAGCACCAGCCCCTCACTGCAGGTGGTGAGTCCACAGGAGGATGACTGTTGTGTTGATGACAGCATAGCCTTAATCTTTCAGTGGATAAAATATATTGTTTGAATTGTTAATCACTACACTTTCAGAAATAAGGGTACGTTAGGAGACCATTTCTGTACTCATAGGTACAAATCTAGAACATTGTAACCCAAGTAGATCAATATTGGTCCTTAAGATACATTATTGAGCCTTTTGGGGGTAAAAGGGGTACAGTGCAATTTTTTTAATCTAAAAAACCTTAACCTAGGTTAAAAAGGCACAAAAAACGTACCACACATGGTTGAAATTTGAGCCTAGAGGGTACAACATTGTCCCCAAATAGGAACTATTTTGAATTAATGCGCATGAATACATGAACAACAGCAGCAATGAGGAAGGACACTGTTAGTAGTGCTTCGGTATTTTAATTTTCCCGCTGCGAGGACCCAGGACTTGGACTAATTATGGAGGGACAGGCTTTACGGGCTCTTTGAACCAAAGAGCTTTTGGAAAAAGTGCTTCATTCTGTAATAGATGTGTTTGAGGAGGAAGCCAAACAATTCAGGGGTAAGTTTGAACAAACACAGTACTAGTACTAGTATTATTTTGTAAGTTAGCTTGTAGTACAAGTCAGGTCTATGCTAAGCTAGTTGAAAATGCTGACTCAGATGCTGTTTAAACCATGGTCATCGTCTGGGTCAAGATAATGTTTTATTTCGTTTATGTGTTTTATGTCCATGTTAAGTCAAATGGACGTGGTAACTCGTGTTAGCATTAGCTTCTTTTTTAGCACAAAGCAAGCTTTGGGAGGGAGTTTAAGCTAGCGTCAACTCTGCTGCAATACATAGTGTATTAAATATAGGTGTATAGGTTACACATTTATCGTTAACCCCAAGAAAATGTAAGTTACATAAGTGTGGAGGTGATAAACCCCGTATACGTGGTTAACGATTCTGGAAATCTGAGTGGACATGTGAGTCTTAAGACTTTTTTGGTTTTGGTCTAAATCTAGAGCAGGTGTGAGGTGACTTGGACCGTGATTTTTTTCTGATTTGGGATCCATTTTTCAGTTTAAAGACCTTCCTTTTAAGCTTAATTTGACAGCATTTGTGTTTTGACCTTTTAACTAATGTTAGTTAGACGCTTGGTCTGCTCACCGTGGCTTTGGTTTTGTTGTCTAGTTGTAAATTTATATTTCTAATCAATAAAAACGTTTTAAAATGATAATCAAGTTAGAAATGATGGTCCTATAGGTTGGCTCTACGTTCATGCGATGTCACACAATTCCAAAGAGCCGATAGTAAATAAGTGATCTTTATCTAAAAAGCACTTTACAAATGTTCTCCACAGAAGTCTGGATGTGGAATCGAACGCAGGACCTTGTTGCTGTAAGCACAAGCGCTGTTAGATATTGTGTTTTTTTTTGTGGTCGAGAGAAGATGAAAAAATATATTTAATCTGTTGAAAGCCAGACTCCTAATCTTACTTTACAGCCAATTTCTGTGTAATTCCAGGACCAATCCATATGACAAAAAAACATAGTTCCTTGTTTTCTTTGTCAGTGAATATGCAAAGTCACATTCATTTCTCATGAAGGTGTCTAGAAGTTGTGACGATATTTATATAATATATATATATAAAAATATATGCATGATGTTGGCCAGTAGAAGTGATTTCCAGACACAATAAGGCAGTTTTGTGAATCTACTGTAATCCTAATCCATCAAATACTGATCTGATCTGGGAAAACCTGGACATTTCTTTCATTTTAGTACTGGCATCTGGCCTCCAACTGAAATAGAATTATACAGCATGGACATGGCCTATTGCTTGTCATTCTGGAGTCAATTGATAGAAGTTTGTACTAAATTACATACACACAAACTGAATGTAAAATCGGGATAAAACTATGATTACATTCAGGACCAAACCTACACTAAACAACTATGCTTCAATTGCAGGTTGTAAAGAGAGGGATGTGACAAGATGGCTAGGAGGCACAGCGGGGCTAATTGATGCCAGCTTAGAAGTCGTTATTTTTTAAAACACAGCCCTGAAGAAAAAAGAACAACCCTCATCTTTCCAGAGAGGCTGTGGAAATGTCGAAAAGTTCATATCTGCTGCCACCTGTACAGTAATTGTCCTCTCTCCAGTGACTTCACGGATTACAACGAGCCGCAGAAACATGTAAATGAGGATGTGAAAATTGGCTGCCAGAAAGTCAAGTGCGGGAAATATCAAAGTTTGACAAGCTGTGCGTGTGATTTCCATAAGAAGAGAGCTTAACAGAAGTAAAGACAGGAGCTGTACCTGGTAGTGCATGAGTGTGTTGAGGCGCTTCCAGTCGTTTTCGATCTTTGTGGTGATGTCCTCGTCCTGCAGAACCACACGGGCCATCCTCCCCTGACGCCACTCTGTAGAGACAACAGGTACGAGGGCCAGTGAGTGAGTGAGTGGGGAGTGGACAAGACAAGCACACAGCACAACAGAACATGAGTTAAGTTAATCTTTATTGAAGAGACAGTGTGCAGAGACTTTAAAGATGCAGTCAGTGATTTTTGTTCCAGACGCTTTTTTTTTTTTTGTGTGGGAAAACGTCCCTAAACCCTAAAAATAGTCAAGCTCTTATGTTTTTTTTAAATAGTAATGGAATTGACCAGATACCTATAGTCACCAAAAATTAAAAATACAAATATTTTGGAGCGGACTGATAAAAATAAACCAATGGGATTTGTTCATCCCCAACGAACCAATGGGATGCGTTTACCCCCTTCACCCTCTTCCCGTTTCTGGCGACCGCAGTCTATGGTGCGCACCTGAATTATCGGATTATTTTCTAAAACGTTAAATGGCATAACAGAAAATGCCAATTTCATGTTTGCCACCCACTCTCCCTGTTGTGAAAAAGAAAAGAAAATGCTGGATGTTTGGTTTGGATCAGAGGCGAGGGGAGAGGTGCTACAGCTAAGCTAACAGAATCGCTTACAGCATCTTTAAGCTCATAGAGACAGATTATAGCTAAATACAATAGCTTGTTCCCATCTGCAGTCCCTGGTTAAAGAGACAAAAATTATAAATGAACTTCCTTTAATCCCATAAATTGTGAATTCAAATGTTGCAACACCAAGTTCATGAAGAAAGAAAATATGCTTATTATCAAACTTCATCATGCAAAAGTGACTACAACGGTGCAGAAATAAAATAACAGCTGATATCCTTTTGTAAATACCATTACCAATAACGTGTACATCATATGGCAGTATTGGACAATTGGATATCATATCAAGAGTTTAATATTAGCTATCTTCAATAAAAAAAACTCTTGAAGATAGCGCTCTTATCCTTCCTGTAATGTGTCATTCTCATTTGTGAAAGCGTTGATATAACAAAAGATTTTCCCAGCAGTTTTTGAAGGCTTTTCATATCAGAAATAGTAAAGGATATTTTAGTATCCACTTTCTGCTCATATTGAATTTTTTTTTTTTTTTAAAGGTGAAATTGGTATTGGTAGTTTGATTAAAGTATCAAAGCAGCACAATAGGAGAAAAAAAAAAAAGTGTAATGGTAAATACCCTAAAAAAAGAGCCTGAATTTGACATTATGAAAGCTGTGGTGAAACAAGACTTACACTAGAGAGGAAAAAGTACTTCAATACTTATCCATCATACCTAATTTAGTGTACATTATTAAGATAGCTGAATGCTTAATACGTCATGTGATCTTGTTCCAATACCTCATGATGGATATTGATGCGAGTAAACCAATATACACCTCCATTTATGAACTTGTTCTCAATCTGACATCCTACTTGTGCACCCCTTGTCATAACTTCAGCACCACGAGCTCCACTCCCCTATTTTTTACCACTTTTTAAACTATTCATCACATTTAGTTACACACAGTCCCAAACCCAGCGCGCATTGAATCCTCCGAGATACCACTCCACAATCCTCTATCCTTCAGAACGAGTTACCTCACCGGAGCCAAATTGCCTGCCCCTCTCCTCTCCCATCCCCGCCGCTTCTTTACTTTGTGCTCTTTCAAACTTGATTTTCCTTTCAGCCCTCCAAAACAGCCTCCTATCCGGCATTTTTTTATTTATTTTTTCCCCTCCAACACGCGACTTGGATTGACGCACGTCTCAATTAGACATTACACGTGAGCAATTTCGAGAAGCGCATATACTGGCGGGCCATGCACTTTAATTGGTACTTGCGCTGTGCAAAATTGCGCCCCATTAGCATACGCAGCGGGGTAGCATCGGCGAGTAGAGTGCGCCAGAGACAAGATAAAAAGGGCAACTATGAGAAAATCACATCCTTTCAGGTTGAGAAAAAAGGAGGGAGCAAGTGGAGGAGTCGTGTGGAGCCTTTTCGGGGAATTCTGCTTGGTGTCTGGGCGAGAGAAGGTAATGAATTGATAATAAGGGAGATGTGGACAGCTCTGGAAGGCGTCATTGATTGGTGCTCTTTGTTGGAAAGGGCTTTTTGTAACTCTCTTGGTCAGGCAGGTGACCATGCGTGCGGTATCAAGGGCCCGAAAAGATAGAAACGCCGACATGGGGAACAAGCACAGACAGGCAAGCACTCAATTACTTGCAAAAGATGTCAAGGATAGAGGGAGGGAGAGGGTGGGACGCAGTAAAAAAGTGTAGAGGACAGGGGTTGGATTTGTGTAGTAACAGAGTTGTATAAGGAAAGAGCTGCTATAGGTTGTAAATTGTGTTGTTTCTGGCCGTGTTTAAAGTGACAGGTGCATGATTGGTTCACCACTTCAGAGATGTGCTTTTCGACCTTATTCAATCGTGGGTGTGTGGGTCATTTTTTTTTCCAATCGCTCAACATGGCATATTATATCAATGCAAGACCTGTAATTTAGCTCCAAACTACTTGCCTCCACATATAGCGACAAAGATATATATATTTTTGCTTTCGATCTTGTAAATGGTCTCAACATACTGTTCATCTAATCTTTTGCATATTTTACTGCGAGAAGGAGCCTTATGAGTCTAGGTGATGGCTGAGAGCTGAAAAAACGGATCTGAAGATGTGAAAACTAGTGGTAGAATCAAACTGTTTTAGAGAGAGGAAATACATTAAATTAGGTTTCGTGTTTTGCAAGTTAGGTACCCCCAGCTTTAAGGGACTATGCTAGTAGACATTAAACAAACAAAGGAATAATATGGCCGCCATGCTGTAGCTACATACAAGTTACAAGTCATAAGTCTCCCAGTCTCAACAGTCTATGCCAATTTTGTACTTTTTTTTTCTCGATGAATGGCTTGCAAATTAGAACTCATAATACTAAAAAAAAAAAAAACTCTACATTGAACATGAATTAATTAACATTTGTAAGATCAAAAACCTGTTGCACAATGGTGGCATGGTATCCGTTCCACCCACAGTGCAGGTGAGACTGGCAGCAGTGTGGGAGTGGGAGCTCTGTTCAGATCTGTCACTCTCACAGATCCACCACCTCTCTTCTCTTCTCCCTCGTTCCTGTCTGGTTTTGCACAGCGATACTGGCACCAGTGAACAGACACCACATCCAGAGGAGAGAAGTGCCACACGGCCTGTCTGTTTGATCGAAGCTCGGCTCTAATGAACTCTGGTGTCTGGAGCCTGCAGCATACACTATTTCAACAGGATTTTATTAACACACACATAACTGTAATGTGTTTTGAGATCACGTTTTTTGAAAAAAAACTTTGGTCTAAATAAAATTACTAAAATGTCTGAATGTGCAGGTGTATACAGTTCTGCTTCAAGGCAAATTTAACCTTTTTGAATCGTATAAAGTTGTTATGTTTCTTACCCAGGTCCATGTCGACGGCGCGCGGCCTCTGGGAGTAGGGCATGTTCTTGTACACAGCGTCCAGGATCTTCTCCTTCACCTGAGTAATGGTGTCGCAGTTCAGCACTTTGACCGGAATCTCAGGGCTGTTCTCGTTGTCCGGGTTCACACAGTTCAGGATCTGCGATCAGGGAAAAAAAAAATCAACGAAGTTTTACTATTTTTGCTCAACCATTTGGTGGATACCTTTTTGAGTCACTATCTACTTGAAACATGATTGGAACTGAAATCTATCTTATTGGGGCATCTTTATAACTTAGTTTTAGGGACTTTTACCATCAAGCTGCATCTCAACTACATTTGGTGAAGGCATATAATTAAAAAACTATAGAGTCAAAAAAAGGTTTTTTTTGTTTTGTTTACTGAGAGTTTAATCACCGGTATGACCCGCCCTTTCTCACCCCCACAGCTTCCTAAATGGACGGCCTATAGTGAAATCCTTGACACTACTTGCCATTAGCCCAACTATTCAACTCTAACACATTTGATTGGTGATGGTTATGCTAAGGAGAAGGACTGTACAAACAAAACAGTTTTTGAAAAATACTTGCTTTACGTGAAACTACAGGGTCGTGTGGTCAAGTTGTTTTAAAAATGAAATAAAATTGACGTTACAGGCATCATCTTTAAAGCTAAAACCTGAGTTACTCCTGGAAATCTATGTGTACAAAAAAAAAACATTACTGGTTGCTGTACAAATTTTTCCAGTAAGTATGCACAAGTGTCTATTTGGGTCTGTCTCAAATAAAATCTCGAGCATTCATTTGATGTTATCCTCTCAGCATAATGTCAAGCTGCAGTAGAACACTAATCGCTCTGTTAAAACTAGAACTTGGGTCCAGTTTTTGTCTGCTCTCATTAGCGTCTCCCAGGAGCATGGCAGGAGCTCTCCGAAACCATTTCCGTTCTTTCTGGCTCTCTCCAAATCTAATTTCACACCTTCGGCGGGACACCAATTTCCAGCTCTGTCGGGGCATTAGCGCGTAATGAGCCAAACTCGCAGGCAGTGCAATCAGAGCGTCGTCATATCGCAGTGCTCCAGTACAGGCGCGTGTGCTACGTGTGTCCTCTTCTGCCTCATGTTGGACCAACAATAGAGACCGCAGGATCATTTACCTAATTGTGTTACACTAAATGACACACACATGCGGCGTTGAGGTTTTTGGGGAGTCGTTCAGAAAAAGCAAAGTCGACAGTGAACTACTCTGCAGAGAAAGTTGTAATTTATTCTTCTTACACGGACCCAGCTGTGGGATGGAGTTGCTGTTTTACATACAGTACATGAAGTTACACTGGTAGATAGATAGACTTCTCTGATTCACATGGGAGAAATTCAGGTGTCCAGTAGCAGCAAAAATCTAAAATTAAATTGATCATTCTAAAAAGCTAACTATAGAAATAATCAGCAACAGTCTAAATAAACATACATATATCAGAGCTGATGGTAGAGCGTTCTTACCCTGAGAACGGTTTAGATCAGGGGTTTTTAACCCAGTCCTCAAAGAGCCGTGTGGCTGCAGGTTTTCGTTCCAACCAAGCAGCACAATGGAATGAAAACCTGCAGCCACACAGCCCTTTGAAGACAGAGTTGAATATCCCTGGTTTAGATCTATCTGACTATTATCCTTTTTTTTCTGTAATTTCATTCCCAAGTGACTAATGTCATTAGTATTCTATTGATTTGGATGTAGCTGCAGAAACCTTCAACACCTGATTTACTTATAAGTATGGAAGCCCGTTTCCGCCATGTAAAAAAAAAAAAAAAGCATACAGAAAGTCAAAATTTTGACTTTAAAACTCAAAATTACGACTTTTAAAAGTCAAAATTTCGACTTTAAAAGTCAAAATTACGACTTTAAAAGTCAAAATTTCGACTTTAAAAGTCAAAATTACGAGTTTTCAACTGCGCATGTGCAGTTGAAAACTCGTGTTGTTGTCATGGATCTATTATATTAACTGGATAGGGTATTACTAGCTTGTAGCTGAATAACCCATGTGCTCAGGGGATTCTCTCGGTACTGCAGACTGAACCAGACTAAATTCACGTGGGCTACCCAGAAATTTTCCCCATAGAACTCAATGCATATTAAAACAGCTCGACCTCAGCAGACAGAGAACCTACAGCTTTCATAAAGGTCGGATTTTGTGGGGATTTTAGTGTCCCTTGTCATCCTGAACTTTTTTTCTTCTTAAATCCTTCGGTTTTGTTTAAATCCACACTTTAGTGCCATAAACTCGGCTCGTCTGGCTCTCGCTCTAACTCCCGCTCTGATGAACTGCTCTGATTGGTCAGAGCGCGGCCGAGCCCCTCTGTGCACGTGCGTGAGACCCACACACGCGTGTTTGGCGCAACGCATTATGGGAGATCATCCACAGGACCAGACGATGCCCAAATACAGGCGAGTTTCCCATAGATCTTTGCGAGTTTCAGGCAACTTCCGCTAATCTTTCAGCCTGCACATGCACATACGCAGTTGAAAACTCGTAATTTTGACTTTTAAAGTTGAAATTTTGACTTTTAAAGTTGAAATTTTGACTTTTAAAGTCGTAATTTTGACTTTTAAAGTCGTAAGCTGCTCACCCCAATGCTGTGATTATAGTTGGTGGTGATTTTAATAAATGTAACTTAAAGTCTGTATTACCGAACTTTTATCAGCATGTGAGTCAGCCTACCAGGGGAGCTCACATCCTGGATCACTGCTATAGTAACGTGAAGGCAGCTTACAGGTCCAGTCTCAGACCTGCTTTTGGGAAGTCTGACCACTCCTCTGTTCTCCTTCTTCCTTCTTATACACAGAGGAACAAACAGCACAAACCTACTTCCCGCACTGTGCAGTGCTGGTCTGAGGAGGCTAACATGAAGCTCCTGTTGTTATTGACAACTCCAAGGTGCAGATCGTAGAGGAGTGCAAGTTCCTGGGTCTAACTCTGTCTAATGACCTGAAATGGGTTAAAAACACTGACCGGGTTGTTAAGAAAGTACGTCAGCGGCTCTTCTTTTTGCGGAAACTTAGAGAATTTACCACTAACTCTAAGATTCTGCTTAACTTTTATCGCTGCACCATTGAGAGTTTACTTGTTGGTTCTGTGTCTGTGTGGTTTGGAAACATCACAGATAAAGAAAAGAGAGCTTTAAACAAGGTGCTCCGCTCTGCAAAGAGGACCGTGGGCTGTGAGCTTCCTGTTCTGGAGGTTCTTTACAAATCCAGACTTTTAAACAAAGCTCTTAAAATCATCAATGACTCTTCTGGCCACCCTGGGAAAGCCATGTTCCAGCTTCTTCCCTCTGGCAGAAGATATCGGCCGCTGAGATGCAAGACATCTCGCTATGCTAACAGCTTCTTTCCACAGGCTGTTAGGTGCCTAAACAGAGCACTTTAATTCCTGATTTTACCCCTTGTATTGTTTTGTTGATCGGTGCCACAGTGTCAGCTGTTTTTTTATTATTTTATATTCAGTGTATGTGTATTTTATATTACATTGTATCGTGCTTTTTATTCTGTCGGTGCACACAGAGTACCTTTTTTTGCAAATGTATTCCAATGTAGTTTTTATACTGCACATGGCCAATAAATGAATCTGAATCTGATCTGATTTTGAAATTTTGACTTTTAAAGTCAAAATTTTGACTTTCTGTAGGCTTTTTTTTTTTTTACATGGCGGAAACGGGCTTCCATATATAAGCAACAGGCTATAAAACATTTTGGTTGAACACACACTGAACACAACTTGGTAATAGACTCTTGATTGTCTATCTTTTATGTATAGATGACTGTTTAGGTATCGTTCATGTATTTCAGGGGTGTCAAACTTGTTTTGGTTGAGGGCCGAATACAAAATGAAAGGGCTGGTCAGGGGCCGAAAAAATAAGTGGGTTTCACTTATTATACTTTTTTATAATATGAAGGTATCTTTATAAATGACTTGTTTCACATTAGTAAGATTGGATATTCTTTTCTGATTAGAATTAGTTCAGTTTCTGTGGACTGGACCAAAACTGAACCAAAACTGGACCTAATATTGAAGGTATAAAGGAAGATTTTCTACTTCTGTGCGGATCATCAAGACGATTGGTCCTCACAACTGTCAATCATTCTGGTGATTCATGCTCATCTAATAAGACCAGAGAGATTTGTTCAAAAAGTGGAGAGGGTGGTTCTTTCCTAAGAACATTTGGAAATCCTCTTCATATCTTTAAGAAGAAATGTAATTGAAGACTCGTAAAAAACATAATATTAAAGACTAACATGTTGGCTAAACATTTCTTATGGAATTACATGTTATAGTTGTTTTCTTGAGAAAATTAGTAATGGATAACCTTTAATAAAATAATTCAAAATCATCTCAGGGGCCACTGGAAATGGTCTCGCGGGCCGGATCTGGCCCCCGGGCCTTGACTTTGACACCTATGATGTATTTCCTCTTCCATTTGTGTGGATCACCCACATAAAACATAATATCTTGACAAATTAATGAAAAAGAAAAAATAAGTTGGTTGCAAGGCTGTTTAATTGTCTTTTTGACCTGCCATCCCGTGCCACTCTTTGTGTAAGTATGTGTATGCAAATGAACATATTTCAACTTTTACCCTGTTTAATCAGTGAACAAATTAAGAAATATTGGTCTAATAGTTAATTTGCCTAAAATCTCGCAGTTACATGCATTATTAACTTCCAGCGTTGGCTACACACACTACTATTCTGCGTGAGCTTTGTGGAGTCCGTACCAGTGTCTTGTACTCGATTTGCTGGCGGATGAGCTTGTCTTCGCTCAGGGAGTAGCGGGCCTCTCCGGTGATGGCGTCGATCGGGCCCTTCTCCATCTGCTGCTTGATGGCGCAGTACAGCATGAACAAAGGCTCGCCAGCACAGTCCTGAGACACACACACAAACAAACAACCTCAGCACAACAACATGAGCTCCGACATCTTCCACGCTTCAGAAAGGCTGGTACAGTATGTAGCTACAAGTACAGAAGGCAATATGCACAAGTTTTTGTTTTAATACATATATGTGGTGCTTGAGTTTTTACCTTTACTTTCCCAACATCCTCTAGACTTATATTTTCATTGTAATGTCACTACTTTCAGCTAAGTCCAGGTGGAGCAGCTGTTACCCGCAGGGACAAGGCTTCACAAAAACAATATAATACTTTATACTTAATACTGCTTTATCGTCTACAACTTCAATCATTTTAGAAACATTAATGTCTATGCAATCCTAAGTAGGTCTGAATCTTTAGTTAATTCCAGATAATGTTTTGAAACTGTATCGTCGTGTTGCATTTTTACAGAGGAATGTTGCTGGATGACTGGACACTAATTAAACACGTGCCGTAGATTTGTGTTGTCAAACTTGCCTTGAGAAACTTGTGCAGGAGGAAGGCAAACCAGTTGGTGAGCATCTTCTCCGCCACCGACTCGGTCCTAGAAAAAAAACACAGAAAGACACACAACTCAAAGTATATTCACATTTTTGTTGCATATTCATTATTCATTATATTTGGTTATTGGGCTATTTCCTCCGCTGGTGTCGCCGCCAACTATGCTATGTTTCTGCAGTGTACAAATGCATGGGCCATCTGTGATCATCTAAACGTGTGCGTGCTCAAGTATGCGTCAGGCGCCTATAGGGGGACGAGGAGCTTCACGAGTGGATGGACACAACACCACATCAGCAGCGGTGACAGGTCTCAGCTGTTTGGGAAGATGAGTGTTGTCACAATCAGGTAACACTGGACCACACTACACCCCCACCCCCTGCTGTCGCCACATTCTCTGTATACATGAGGTGAAATGTCCAAATCTGTCACTCATGACAATAGATTCGATTTATCTATGTATTTCTAACATGTATACAACAGATGCTATGAAAAGTGTCTTGTTTGATACAGTATTTCAAGAAAAATGTAAACCTTTATGAACCTGTATTCACATTTAACCAGGATAAAAGGAGATATAAGAGCACTCAGGTGGAAATCTATTATTTAGGATAGTAGATAATAAAATAATAAAGATAAAAACCCAGGAGCTCTAATTGCACTTGAGGCAAAGATGAATACACTTGTGGAGCAAACGCAGTAGTTAGCCGCAAGTAGTTAGTCATGTAGTTTCACATTTACATATGATATTGTATTATAGCAAGAGAATAGGACCAGAATAAAAAATAGTAATAGTAGCAGCAGCAGCAGGTAAAGGGACTCGTGAAAGATCAGAACAGATTAGTGGCACACGTAGTAAAAGTAGCAGTGTAGTATGTATATTCGGTCCTAAATAGTGTTTTATTCATGATTATAAAACAATCTGTGGACACAAGATGAATGCATTCAATTCAATGCAAACACCTTCATTACCACATGGCTAAACTACACCTGTGCACCCATAAGGGTAATAAAAGGACAAGCAACTGTAAATGAAGTGAGAAGGTAATTTGCCAGCTGAAATTACAAAAAAGGTGATAATGAAGCTGCACTAGGCAACTGATATTTTATATGAAGGGTGCTCATCACCATGGCTACATGCATATGGCAATTCTAACATGTTTGACACCAGGTTCTCTGTCAGATGTGTAGTTGTGTAGTTTTGTCTGTTTCCACTCCAAGAGTGAAACCAATACATACATTTAAAGAGTGTTCACGCTGGTCCTGGATCATTTTACTTTGGCTTTTCAAGTTTTAGAATTGTACCATCTAGTGGTAGAAGAGAGAAATTTGGCTGTCTATCCAACATGGTAGAGTCTAATGGAAGACATGCTGTGTGCTCTTTTACAGGACACATTATGCAAAATCAACTGATATGAGCTTTTAACCCCAGTACAACATTATTCCTTCATCAAACAAGAGTTGTTTTTAGATCCATTCTGAACTCCAGCATAACGATGTAACTCCACCTCTTCTGTCTCAAAGATCCTGTCTCAAACCTGTAATAGTATGATGTCATTGAACCCCTATGACATCACACTCAACAAAACAACAAACGTACTGCCCTAAAGTGCTGCCAATTTCCTAAGTGAAGGTGTGAATGTTATTTACAATCACATGGCTGAGTTTGCAGCCGGTAATTTTTGTAGAACAAAACAACTTCAACCCTCTGGTGGTAGCAATTACAGGTGGAACATTATTTATCCTTGATACTTGCCATTATTATATTTACAATATAATTTCACGTTCAAAACATGAAATTACAAAACATACCGTGTAATATTTCTTCTTTAAAAGGCCAAGAACAGCTCTATCCAAAATCTTGAAAATGTATCATAGTCTCCTGCGTTTTGAAACCACAAAGGTTTGTGTGCAATTATTTGTACCAGAAATTAGCATGAAGGAAGTTAAAAACATTTTCTCACTGACATTCCAGTAGCAGGCACTAGACCAAAAATAAAACTACAGATTAAAAGCAGGTCAGATATCTACTTCCTAAAAGCAGATTGCATATTCCTGTTTTTCCCCTTTCCTTTACAGTACTCCCTGGGGTCGCAGCTCAACAGTCAATCACAGGAGCGTGGCTGAAGGAGTCGATTGGGCGTGAAAACACAGCAGAGTGTGCGTCCTGACCCTCGCCTCTCCTCTTCCACCTCTGCGCACACGGCTGGACACGTGGCAGTCATCCCCGCGGCCCCATCCCACCAGCGCATCGTTACAGCGGCTGCACAACACGACTCAGGAGCCGGGAAGATGCAAACACAAACAGCCAGGTGGGAGCGGGTAATGAACGTGAAAGATGAACAGAAGTGTGCAGTGCAAGACTCCAGAACAAGAGGGGGTCACAGCAGGAGGAGGAGGGTTGTGGGTTGAAAGGTTTTATTACAATGCAAACATCTATTGTATTTTTAAATGTCTATAAAAAATGAAATAATTGCTGGCATGAAACATTTGTTATCATTGTTTTGAAATGTCTACATCTGGGATGAGACGAATGAACATGTATGACCAATATTTTTGAATCAATGCAGCTAGGTTCTGGGTTTGATTCCATCTCCAGACGGTTCCCTCCAGGTGCTCCGGTTTCGCCTACAACTAAAAACATGTACAATAGTAATGAATGCAATGAGAGTGAATAGATTGTGATGGTCAGGGGCTTTGATGCGTATAGTGACTGGCAGTGAAAAGAGCTGTATTAATAAAATACTTAATATACTGCACATACAGTAAGATACATACTTTCATACAAAGAAAAATATATAGTTTAAATAATAACTCCAGTAAAATAAGCAAAACAAAAATCACTTTCTCATATTAAGTAGTAGACAATATATTTTTCAGGCACTTTACACCATGATGTCATGTAAAAAAAAAAAAAAGTATCTTAATGTTTCGAAAATATAGATTCGCATTCAGATTATACCTTTTTTTTGTTTATCCATTTGAATATTCTGGCTTTACAGCATTCCTGAGACACATATTTGATGAGAACTATTGTAAAGTACTGTATATCCTTGGGGTTTTGGTTCATTTAAATTTAAAATGGTTTTTGACTAAACGCCTGCTCCAGATTACATTCCATCTAACAAGACACAAGAATGATACATTTTAAGGAATCACACCCTCTTTTCCTCCCTATCCAACCAACAATGTGAACAAAAATATGCCTTATTGTGGCAGGAAATGAGTCTGATTATTTGGCCGGACATGATGGAGAGGCTTAAGAAGAATCAAAAGACGTCAGGTATCAAAGACAAGCTTGAAGGCTGCTAATTCAAAGCTAAATAGTGCCAAGCGTGATTACGGCCCACCTATTCAGCCGCGAGGACCAAAAGGGAGATTAGGACTATTATGGAGATAATTGTGTAAAGTCCTGTTGGAGAAATGGAAGACGGCCCAGAAGGATGGTCAGAGCCAGAGGTTAGGGACATGAGGCTATTTCAGTCTTTGAGGCGAGTGAGTGACGTGCCGCCTCATTAGAGAGAAGCACCGGGTCCTGTAAGGGAACAGAGTGGACAAAAAGTGGCTTCAGAATTGCTTTATTTCAATGTAATGTCTGGGAAAGCCAGACATTACGATGTTGAAATTCATCCGTAAAGGGGGTTAATATGGGTCCTTGCAAATATTCAAACTACATTTTTGGAGATGGGGCCACACATCACATAGATTGATGTGTCAAATGCAAAGAAGAGAGGACTCAATCTTGACAATAAAAGTGACAAAAAAAGTTGATTTCATAAGATTCATTCAAGATTCAAGATTTTTATTTGTCAAACCAAGTGAATGGTTTGAAATTATATTTCTCTCATGTCAACTTTCTCTCAAGACAACTTATACAAGAGAAGGCTGATGATGTAGTCCTGTGATAAACTGCACAAACTTGAACAATATGTCTTCCAGCACAGACAAAGACAAACATATTTTTTCAGATAGTAGGTAAATATTAATCTAGTCATCCAATTATAAAGCTGGGTTACCCAGATCATGTAATACAAGCTAACAAACTAGTTCCTTGCTCTCAAGACAGATTCATTCTATCGTTTTCAAATGCAAGTATTCTTTATTTATCATTAGCTCAGCTAATGTAGAGGACAACCCTCAGCACATCAGCTCTCAGCCATGAGCGCCAAATAGTGACTCTTTTGAGTATGTAAAGGATACAATAAAATGGGGAAAGTTACATACCCTTGTAAAAATATTTTTTCAAAATAAAGTTCTATAATTCATTATTAACTTGTTGACCTATATTAAACATGCATATAATCTTATGCATACAAGTTTGCCTAAGTTTGCCTTACTTTGCAGTCACTAGAGGATGCCATTGAAATCATCTTGGAATTGGATGGTTTTAATATTCCACAACTAATTTGTTTTTGGCTACATTTAAATTGTAAACACACTGCATGTGGTATTTTCTGTGCCTTGGACAAGCTGATATCTCTTGTACTTGCAGCTTTCTGTGAAATCAAAGCCAGTGGACAGAATAAGTGAAGTTAGCTGTGCCAGCGGGAGAGTTTTCCTCCTCAGCTGCTCTACGTGGAGAGAGGGCCAACAGAGCGCGTGTTGTGTTTGAGCAAAACTAGCAACAATCCCATTGTTTTGTTAAATAGAGAGAAAAGACATTCTTTAATGTCATGAAGAGTGCTCTCCAAAGAACTTAAATACATGGCATCAATTTTATGAACACATTTTCACTACACATTTATCTTCATTCACAACTGTATTGCTAGGTACCCATCGTCCCTCTGTCTGTTACATGAGCGACCGATGGGACTCAAAACCATGGACTCCCTGGACCTGAGGACCCTGTTGTGGATTTTGGGCGATACATTTTTTGGAAATTCTGGACAAACACCACTATCTGATGATTTCAAATTCTGAAAGGTACATATACAGTTTTTATATATATATATTTTAAAATATTTCTATGTCATACTCATTAACAAAATTACACCCTATTTTTCTTTGACCTTAAACATACATCAGCTCCCAGACTCTAACCCTTCA